AAGTCATGAGTTGTTCCTGACATCATGGAAGAGCCTCTGAAATGATAGTTTAAGCTTAAATAGATTTTTCCCCTGATCTTTGACACTTTAGACCTTAGAGTGCTATTATGTACAAATCATTCATGTATTAAAAGGATTCTAAAATAAGGATCTTGTCTTACTTAGGGTTATATTGATTTTTCTTTTGGAAAACCACAAGAAATTTGCTGTGTTTTTATCATTTGAATAATAATTAGCGCAACCAGTTTAAAGATTTGTTGAAACAGTAACAGAATCTTGGGGGTAATGAAAGATTCTTGATCACAAGACAAGGCAGGTAATATTTGGTATTGTGTATTCATTATAAATATTTCCATACCGCAAATGGCAGTCTTTATGTTGTAAAAATTCATGTTGCCTGAAAGGAACTATTGATAGGGGAACAAAAATTATAGAATTTGTGGGAGGACAGAGTTGATAGTATTGAAGAGCTGATGTATTGAAGAGTAAAAATGCATCAATACCAAACAAATCTTGCTACCTTTTGAATTTCTTCTATGATAGAATTTTTCAGTCTTTTCTCAGCATGATGTTACTTAAAATTTGTTAATCAAAGTTAGTGGAAAATAGTGTTTACTTTGACCCTGCTTTTCTTGCTCTTATTTATTACATTAAAAGAATGACTGTAATTGACCTTGAAGAAACTACCTAGTCATTTAATTACAGTGGCACAATATACTTTAGAAATCAGTTTGGGAGGATTTTTCTGAATATTACCATGTTTGTCTTTCTTCCTGTTGATTACTACACCTGGGTTAAACTGCTGTTGATAAAGCTATTTTTACTCACAAAGTTAGTATACAGGAGGAAGGGCTTTTATTTATTTTTATTTTTTATTGTCAGTCATGGGGCCTGAACTCTGGGCCTAAGCACTGTCCCTCGGCTCTTCAGCTCAAGGCTAGCACTCTACCACTTGAGCCATGGCACCACTTCCAGCTTTTTCTGCTTATGTGGTACTGAGGAATTGAACCCAGGGCCTCATGCATGCAAGGCAAGCACTCTACCACTGAGCCACCTTCCCAGCCTGGAGGAAGGGCTTTTAAAAGATACTTATTTTTCAAAAATGTTGTCTTTCATTGGGAATATTTTGGAAATGTCTGTAGGATGATTATTGAAATCATTTATTGAATGTTCCAAGTTGGCATTTTATTGTTGAATGGTATACTTAGTTTGTGGCACACTTTTCAAGTAAAGATTATAAGTAGAAAAAAACTAATGTGAAATTTAGCAACATAAGAATTATACATCTGCGGTTCAAAGCCAGTCCCGCTTGGAAAGTCCATGAGACTCCTATCTCCAGTAAATCACCAGAAAACCTGAAGTGGCACCCAAGTGGTATAGCCATTGCCTTGAACTGAAGAGGTCAAGGACAGAGCTCAGGCACAGAGTTCAAGCCCCTCAACCGACAAAAAAAAAACAAAACAGAGTTACATAAGTCAGGTAAAGAATTCAGTTTTTCCCTCCTGTCCCCACCCATAAGTTGTATAGTTCATTTTCAACATAATGTCTAGTGAGTACCACTGCTGTATCTGTTCACCCTTTATCACTTACTCTATTTTTAAATTAAAAAGTGAAATCAGGTCTTCTTTGAATTATTAATGATTACTTATACTATAAAATTGCTTTAAGATAACTTCCTAGGCTTCTCCACTCATACCCTCCATGCTAGGGATTGAGTCCAGGCCTTTGAACATACTAGACAAGTACTCTAACACTGAGCTATTTCCCCAGCCCTTCCTAAGCTTTTAAACTATACTAAAAGGAAACGTAATTTATGGTATGAATTTAATGACTAGTATTACACAAGTCAGTTTTCATATATAGTTATTTAATAAATTTATTTAGTAAATAATATTCATTTAGTGTTTTAACTTAAAAACTATTTAAATGGACTGTAAAAATTAACTGTATGGCCAGGATACTTTCTTAATTCTATGTATAATCAGGAAAATAATTTGAATAATAGTCTACTAAAAGTGAACACTTACTCTTTTGATATTTCAGCATTTGATAAGCATTGCACACTTGTCTTTAAATTTTACATGATTTCATTTTCTAGCAAGTTGGCAGGTGTTAGCTGTCTATAATTATAACTGAGCAATTTTTCAAATGCTATTCATAGCCTAAACACAGCAAGAAATTCTTCCAATCATGTGATTAAGAGCAGGCCTTGGAAAATAGTGGTGGAGTGATATTATGTTCAATGGTACTGAAGGGCATATTTAAGAGTTTTCTCAAAAACAAAAGATGATTTACATGATAGGGAGACAGGTTTTCTCACAGAATAAAATCTCTTAGTCATTGATAGTGGTTAACTCAAATGAAGCACCTTTGCTTAACAAGTTGATATATAGATGGAAGATAAATTATGAAATATAACCCGTCTGTATTTGGTTTTGTTGATGAGAGAGCTTCTGAGTATAAGAAATAATTGGAAATCTATTGAGATAGTATAAATTTTACAATTGAACTAATGAATTACTTCATTTAATATTTATTATACACCTACTGTATGCTAAATTCTATGCTTATATGTTCATTGGCATGGTAAAGGCTGGAAATTTCACTTCTTTTTATTATTGACTCTGTTTAAAAGACAAAAGCAGCAGCTTACATTTTCTTTCTTCCTGACTTATAGTTATCTAGTCTAACTATTCATAATCTCACTTTGACTCCCAGAGATATCATTTCAGAGTAGTTTAAAGATCATATAGGGCTTTATTTTCTAGCTGTGTACTCATAATAATAAGCCTCTATATTCTCTTTCTTCATCTGAGAATTGACATTTTATTATCCATTTTGTGATATTATCTGGCTTGTGATAGTAATAAAACATTTTGTAAACTTCAATGTATTGCGAAAAGTTCATTATAAAAAATCTTACTCTGCTTACTTATCTGCACAGTTAGGATAATAATAATAATAATAATAATAACGGCTTCACAAGACAGTTCTTAGAATTAAATGAACATGGAAAACGTAGGTGGATATAGGCCTGGTATATGGTAGTGCTCAGCAAATAGCAATGATGTTTTGTGGCTAATGAATGAAAATCAAAACTAGCCTTACTTTAAGAATGTATAGTCTCAATTTTTATGTAATCGAGTTTTATATATTCCACATTTTATATACAGACACATCAATAATTCTTATTGCCTTCTGCACATTAAATTCAGTGTTCATGCATTGGTTGGTTAATGCTAATGTCTATCTGTGTCAAAGAATGTTTCTAACCATTCACTGCCTCAGGGTAAGTGTTGGACTTTGCCCAGCAGTTTGTAGCCAGAGTTGATTGCAGATCTGTAGTTGTATCTCCATTTCCTCATTGCAGTCCAAGATTTTTCTGAGATGCCATCATGGTATCAGTGGGAAGGGATGGCAGGCAGACAGGCAGGCAGCTGAATGTCATCCAAGTGATCAAATGCACATTGAGAAGTCTGTGGCCAAGTCTGTACTTTACTGCCTGGGCAACATTTGTAGATAATTGTCAAGACCATAGGCTTTTGAGTTTGTCAGACCTAGGTTTAAGTCCTGCTTTACCAAACTCTCTAACTTTAGGCAAGTTACATAGTTACTTAAGCCTCAGAGGTTCACTCACAGCGTTGTGAGGTAGTGTAGGTTTGCTAAAACCCAGCAACCACTCTTAGTGTGTCCAGCTACTTAGTAGTTGAGCCCTCAAGTATACTGTGGCTGTAGGGTCCCCCTACAGTCTCTGGGCAACTGAGAAAGTTTTTACCTACTTTATTGGTTCTTTGGTCTAGGGGAAGTAGAACCTCTAGAAACCATAATTAAAGATTTTTAATAAATATTGTCTTAACTCCTTGGATTCCTCTTAGGTCATATTAGTCTTTTCCACTTAGCAATATTTTACTTTTTGTTGTTGTTGTTGTTGTTGTTGGTTGTAGGGCTTGAACTCTGGGCCAAGGCACTGTCTCTCAGCTCTTCAGCTCAAGGCTAGTGCTCTACCACTTGAATCACAGCATCACTTCTAGTTTTCTGGTGGTTTATTGGAGATACGAGTCTTATAGACTTTCCTGCCCAGGCTGGCTTTGAACTGCAATCCTCAGATCTCAGCCTCTGAGTAGCTAGGATTACAGGCGTGAGCCACGGGCGCCTAGCTTGCTTTCTAATGTCTTAAGTGACAAAATGTAAGGAAGCCAAATGATGGCTCGTATGTCAATGTAGTCAGGAAGAAACTGAATCTTCTGTGCCTGGTCTGTTTATGCCTGTTACTCCAAGAAAGTAATTTATTACAAAGTTGGCTTGCCTTAAAGAACTAGTGGGGACATTAGAATTGCCCTATCAGTTAACTCCTTGCTCACCCAAAGCAAAGACATTTTAAACAAAAGTTTCCATCAAACAGTTCTTTCAAATCTTGCCTGCCCAAAAAGAATACTATACTGTAGAACAAAGGGCCCAAGCAAAAGTTACTTTACCAAATAAAAACTCAAAAAATGTTTGTTACAGGAGTTGAAGATTTTGTTCCTATATTTTATTTCTCGTTTGTTTGAAATGTGTGCTTTTCTTGAGCTCCCGTGCCTGTCCTCCTTATTGTATCTAGTAGATTGGGGTGAACATAGGGTGCTAGAGAAGAAGTAACAATTGACTCTCCTGCTGACTTTCAAAATGGGTCAGTCTGTATGGGTTATACTGCTGCTATTGTTTTGAGGTTTTTTTGGTGCCAGTCCTGGGGCTTGAACTCAGGGCCAGGGTGCTATCCCTGAGCTTTTTTGCTCAAAGTTATTGCTCTACCACTTAAGCCACTTCCAGTTTTTTGTTTTGTGTTGTTTTGTTTTTGTTTTTTGTGTGGGGGAGGTCCAGTAGTGGGGGCTGAAGTCTGGGCCTGGGTGCTGTCCCTCAGCTCTTCAGCTCAAGGCTAACACTCTACCACTTGAGCCACAGTGCCACTGCCAGGTTTCTGGTGGTTAATTGGAGATAAGAGTCTCAAGGATAGCCAATCACTGGTGCCTCACGCCTGTAATCCTAGCTACTCAGGAGGCTGAGATCTGAGGATCATGGTTCAAAGCCAGCCTAAGAAAGTCTGTGAGATTCTTTTTTTTTTGGGGGGAGGGGGGTGTCCGGTTGTTGGGCCTGAACTCTGGGCCTGGGCGCTGTCCCTCAGCTCTTCAGCTCAAGGCTAGCGCTCTACTACTTGAGCCACAGCACCACTTTTGGGTTTTTTCTTTTTGCTTATGTGGTGCTAAGGAATGGAACCCAGGGCCTCTGGTATGCAAGGCAAGCACTCTACCACTGAGCCCTGCCACTTCTAGTTTTTATGGTAGTTAATGGTAAAAGAGATTCATGGACTTTTCTACCTGCGCAGGCTTTGAACTGTTGTGACCCTTGATCCTCAGATCTCAGTTTCTTCAGTAGTTAAGATTACAGGTGTAAACCACTGGTGCCCTGCTGAATATTTCTTAATATAGATAGAATAGACACAATTCAATAGTGCACCATTCTGGTAACCAAACCATTGTTCTTAGCCCTTTTCATATATTAATTTATTAAATCTCAACATTATTTAGACTTAGATTTAGTCTCATTCATCAAGGAAAATCAAGGTCCAGATAAGTTGAACAACTTAACTAAGTTAAATAACTTGATCAAGCTAGTTAAAGAAAGAGTCAGACTCAAACCATAAGGCTCAAAAGTTAGTTTCTCAACATATATAATATTATCTGAATAAAATATCTATCTGAAAATATATTACTTTTCCAAACTGTTTTATGTTAAAAGCAAAACTTAAAACCTGCTGTTTCTGGAGAAAACAAAACACTTCTTAAATGTTATTAAATTACATATCAAATTGTTATTAAAATCTTAGTCATCTTGAAATTGTATTTGAATTCTTCTGAAGTGTATAATTTGCATTACATTATCATAAATTTTAACTGGTAGCTTAGAAAATTTGTGGACTGTGTTGCTGGAAATATAGCATAGAAGGCTTACCTTTACATTAAAAAGATTGAAAGTAAGATGATTTTTTAATACACTGCCTAAAAGAAAATTTGGTATATTTCCATGAGTAATAGACTAAAGATTAGCTTTGAATGTTAAAAGAACATTCTCTTAGCTAGTTCATTGTTGTCATGACAGTACTGGCACTGCAAGTGTTGTAGTAACTCCTTGCAATGATCTTATTTTAGACCCTAACGTTCTGCAGTGCTGAAAGTCCCCTTCCCCGCCCTGCAAGTAACTCTAGTGGAAAAGTACTGGTTTAATAGCTGGCTCCTAACTTTGTAGCTGAAAGACTGCACTATTGTGGGTTTAAAAAAATTGTGTAGGAGTGTTGAGTATTTTTCCTGTGGATTATGAATGTTTGAAATTTCCCAAAATACGGTATTACATTACAAGTCAAACAGTAAGTTGTTTACAGCTTAAGAAAAGGGGCCCCAATTGTCTTTTGAGAAATCAAGCTCAGATTGTATCTTTATATTGAGCTCACATAGAAATGATTTTTCCAGTTGTATGTCTCCCATGCATACTTTAAAGTCTTTGGATTCTTTTTTACTCAGTTATTAAGAAAATTGCCATTAGAATTATTTAAAACAGTGAAGGAAAATTCTTAATATTCTTTCTATAATTTAACATGTATCTGCTTAAATTAGAGCATTTTAATACTGATTTCTTAAATTATGAACTCAACTCAGTTTTATAATGATTAAGAGATTGCCCAATTTTAGCTGGGTATCTGAAATAGCAATAGCTGAGTTTTTTTTTTTTAACTTTGTTGCCTTTATATTGTGAATTAAATTTAGAAAATATAGGGAAAATCTAGTTACATTTACTGCTGACAACTGCTAGCTAGCAATAATTACATTTACTCTTAAACACACACACACACACACACACACACACACACACACACACACACACACACACACACACACACACACACACACACACACACACACAGAACACCCTGTGTTCTATATCATTGTATTCAACCAACTGCAGGTAAAAGAAAATATTTGGGAAAAAATTTCATCTGAATTGAATATATATACCTGTTTTCTTATCATTATTCCCTAAAAAAGATATATAAGTAATCTAGAGATTATGTATGTGAAATAGCCTTTATGCAAATAATATCCATTTTATATAAGGGATTTGACCATCCATGGATTTTGGTGTCCTTGGGGATGGGGAGTCTTGGAAACCAATTTTATGTGAATAGTAAGGGACAACTGTAGTGCATCAGCCTTAGATGATTGGCATGTCCTGAATCTTGGAGTTTCAGTATCATACCAATTATTTTGTTTCTTTTTCTCAGTTTAGAAAAGTAATTTTGTAAACAAAATTTGACCTCAAGCCAGAGTTGTATTTGGCTTTCCCACCAAGCAATGAAATATTAAAAGCCTATTTTATTTTTATTCCCTTTGTGATAATTATTTAGGTAAAGAGTTGTTTAATTCTAATATCTCCAATTAATCACAGAAAAAGCAGGAAGTAGCTCTGTGGCTCAAGTGGTAGAGTGCTGGCCTTAAGCCAAAGGAGCCCAGGGACAGCACTCAGGCCCCAAGTTCAAGCCCCAGGACCAGCAAAAAATAACATACAAATTAGATGAAAATTATATAAAATAATAAATATTATAAGTATATATTTATAGAGTTTTTTCTGAACCCTATAGTACCTTGATAGTTTACCTCCTTTAATTAAGGGTAAGATGAATATACTTTTTGAAAATAAGAATTCTTTTTAAAATCTTTATTTTTTTTGTTTGACACTTCTAGCATTATAAGACATATACCTAGACACAATCTACATTGTATGGAATAAAAAAATGTATCTCTTAAGAATGCTCTTAAAAATTTTCTATGATTTAGAGGAACAAAGTTTAAGAACAAATCAAGGCTGTGGCTAGAAATGTAAAATTTGTAGTGTTGCTAATAGTGTAACTGCTGGTAGAAAGGTAGCAATTTGAACTTTAAAAATCTTAAGTCTATACATAATAATTGTACTTTAAGGAAATTATCTTTAAAAGATTTATGCATGAGTATTATTATAATTACACTATTTATTATAGAAATGCTTTATTTGTATTTTTTTAAATAAGGTCTCTCTTTTGCCTCCAACTCACTATCATCTTGCTCAAGCCTCTTGAGTGCTGGGATTACAGTGTGCATCACCACCCTAGGCCCTATATGTATTTTATGTACAAGTGGGTAGTAATGTAATGTGCAGTGACAGAGTATGATAAGTGTTTGTGAAGGACTGTTAGTAGTTACTGAAAATTGTTAAAATGTGCAAACATATATTTCACATAGAAATGACAAACATAAAATAGTCTGGTATGTATGGTTTTATAGAGAAGAGGAAAATGTATGGAATATTAGATTTTCTTGTACCAAAATATTAACCATAGTTCCTTTTGGGGTGATGAAAATATTTGCTATTTAATTTTTTATAGTAATAACAACTTAATTTTATTGAATGCTTTATACCACATATCACAGTATTTTACATATAATATTTTCAGCATTTTTGTAGGTTATATGTTCTGATGAAGAAATCATCCCTCAAATAGAACAAGTATATAAATGTGTACCTAACCACTCACTTTAAGATTAAACTAATTTTGGGTTTGTTCTTCATTTGGAAGAAGCACTGTCAGGACACTTTGGTGTTGCATTCCTTGGACCCCAGTGTTTCTAGAAGTAGGTACAACAGCTGGTGACACGTTATGAGCATGTTAGGGGGATGCCAGATCTGCAAAAACTCATTTCTGAACTATTGCCTGTTCGTATTTGGAGTGATGTAACATAATCTGGGAGAATTTATACAACTACATACTTTCTTTGAAGACCTATTTCCCTACACACTCTTAATTTTATACCTGCAAGTTCATATGGTGAGTTTTACATTTTATAGATGAGAAAACAGACTGAGAAAGGTTATTTGACTGAGATAGTGAACACTTGGGTCAAGAGGACTAGATCTGTTAACTGCTGATCTGTTTTCCTGAAGTTTCTTCCTCTTTTTTACCTTTTTGCCATGAGGCTATATTACTTTAAATATAAAACTAAATCAGTGTAGAAAAATAGAGAATTATAGTAAGTCAGAGCGAGGAAGAGCAGGATTTGTTGGGATAACAGTGTTTAATAGAGGAAATAAATTTTAATGTAACAACATTTCTTCTCAGCTTATCTGTCTATTTACATAAGCCTGCACTGCTTCTATTCCCAGCATGCCCACACTAAAGCGCCTATGACTGGCTGGAAGTAATTAATACTCTGTTTTTCTTTCCTACAGAGTAAGTTTTGGCCTCATTTTTGTTTCCTTTTTGTGGCCTCCTTTTTATCTTCCTTGTACCATCTGTCATATTATATGTGAACTTGTAGCTATAACTTTTGCCAAAGATCTTTTTCACTGCAGTGTTGTTATACCATTATAAAGATGGAAATGGCTAAAAGAAGTAATAAAAAATAGCATTGCTGGGCACACGTGGCTCACACCTGTAATTCTAGCTACTCAGGAGGCTGAGATTTGAGGGTCATTGTTCAAAGCCAGCCTGCACAGCAAAGTCCATGAGACACTTATTTCCAATGAACCACCAGAAAACCTAAAGTGCACTGAGGCTCAAAGTGGTAGAGTACTAGCCTTGAGCAAAAGGAACTCAAGGACAGCACCCAAGCCCTTAGTTCAAGCCCCACAACCAACAACAACAACAACAAAGATGGCAAGATGGCATCTACTAATATTTCTTTGGAAAGCCATTATAGTTGGCATTCAAATTCATGCATTTATGCTAAAACTTATTAAAAGATGGTAGAACTAAGATCTTGAATCTTGTCTAATTAACTACAGCCTAAACTAAAACTAATGTTCAGCCAGTATGCATTGACACAAAAATACTTGTTAAATTACTGAAGTATTTTCATACCAGTTGGCAAATTCTAGTAACTAGAAACACCACAAAAAATAATAGAAATTAATAATATGTAGTCAAGTGTGGTTTTTATTAGAAACCACACATGTACTTGGATT